GGGATTCACAGTCCCTCATCCAGTAACAAAACCCAAACAACATGAGAAAGGCAGCTTCTGTATTGTACCCAGCTTTGTCTGGAAAGCCTCTGTTAAAAGAAGGGGACTGAGAGGCCAGAGGAAATGACCTGTGACTAYATTAAGGAGTTCATTTGTTAAAATGTAGACCGTAGCCATGTGTTGTTTTGCCTCAACCCACCCTCTGGACTAGATCTTCCTCCCCCAAAATTATCTAGTTYGATTTTAAGCAATTTGTGCTAGAGTAGAAGGATTAATAAGCACAAATCATCAATAGTCACTAAGATATCTCTGGGATGTTTTAGACTCATTACTACCCTCAGCACCCTTCCCCAGTTGTAAGGGGAGCAGTTACAGCTGTAAGGGTAACATTTTTTCAGTGCARAGTTTTCCCCTCAATTGTTGTCCCAAATATCCTTGCATGGTGGTAAGAAATGCTTTGCAAAGGGGTAATACATCAGAAAGTAATGGAAAATTCCCTTCAACAGGACTGGGAAAATTTTCAGGCTCAACTGTTCTCCCAGGTACTGATGGGCTTTCAAACCTTGAACAGCTGTACCTTGCATTTTGCTAGCATCTGTCATCAGTATTATCTGGCAGGAGTGTCCAAAAACACTTTTCTTTTTTTTTTTTTTCCAAAAAGAAGTAGGTTGTAATTTGGGCTCTAGAAATACAGCCCAAAGTTTGCCCAAATTTTTCTGATGTCAGTATACATTTAAGAATACAGAACTGGAAGAGCTGGAAGCTAAAGTGGCTTAGAYCATGCTTCTTGCACTCTTTTGAAGGTCAGTTTGAAGTCTGATTGAATTGAAGGACAGAGCTTTGACAGTATTTTTATGTGTTTCAGAATTTAACTAGGTATTAAAACGTATTTGGTTCATTTGCTGAAAGATAAGCATGATGAGTAAATAACACTCGAYCGTTAATATTATTTCTTCTGTTTTCAATATGCACAAGAATAGTAGCAAAGTGAAATTGTGATTTGTGGCCTTCCAGCATGAGGGGGCTTTTCTGCTTTCTTGGTCCTTTAGTGTCCCAGYGTGTTATTGTACAGAGCCAGATACTGTTTGTAAGACTCGATGTTGTTCTCACAATCCAAAGCACAAGCCCAGAGCATGATGCTCAGCCTTTGTGTCTAATGTCACAGCACAATGTGTAAAACACTGCGAGTAAATAACTCCGAGCTGTACCAACACTGTGTCTGCATTGCTTACTCCACGGTCTGTCCCCTCTGCTCGCAGCTCTCGGGGGCACAGAGTGCTGGGGTGARTCAACAGAAGCTGCTCTGAAGAGTTCATCAAGGGGTGGGTACATGATGAAAAGGGGAGCACTCAGCAGCAGTCATAGGAAATCTACTGTCGTTTTCACCAAGGTGGCAGCTAAACAGAGGTCTAAAGGCTTTCCAGCAGCTGCAAGGAGATTAGAGAATGGGATCTAGGAAACAGTTTCCTCCCAGGTACTGGCTCCATCTCTGAAACAAAACTTAGAAGTTAATTTAGATTTTTTTTTTTATTATTTTGGGGTTTTTTGCCAGTTTCATTACTTTCAAGTTGGTGCTGATGACACTCTGTAAACCATGCATCTGTAAGAGGAAAACATGTTTGGCTGACCTAATACCATCACCAGAATTAGCAGGTTCCTAACAAGACACAGAGATCAAAACCTGCACATAAAAGTAAAAGAAAAGAGACTTTTGGAGCAGGAGAGGGAAGTATTTACCTCATTGACAGTTTGGGGGCACTCTCTCACCCATCACAGTCAGAGTTAAAGCACAAGGAGGAAAAACAAAGCCAGTCTGCAGAGCCCCAGACTGTTGCTGGCTTCGCAAAGAGGGGTGCCTGTCAGCTGCACAGCGAGGCTGATGGCATTGAAGAATTTACTGTTGAGATGAAGGAAAAAGCTGTATTTTGGCTGCACAGGGGCTGAACACGGGTGGTGCATTTGCCGGGGACAATCCTTCCCGCCTGGGGAATTCATGCAGGGTTACTCAATAATTACCAGCCCAGTGTATTGAAAAGCAGCAAGAGCTGCCACAGAACCATTCTTCTCTTAACCCTACTGTTCATTGTCACYTCAGATTTATTAGCAGCTTTTCTCCCCCCCCTACGGTATTTAAAAATTAAACTGGGACTGTCCTGTAACCCTCTGTCTGCCAAGAGATAGTAGCACSTAATCCAGGAGCTGTGTCACAGCCACTGCCAGCACTGGTCCTGAGGGTCTGCAGCCACTTCCTGCACTTCCCTGAGCTCCTAGTGATCACTGAATGTGGAATAAACCCAGCRAGGACAGGGCTCCAAGATGCTCCTGGGAAAACAGGTCACACCTAAACCCAACACACTATCAGCTCTCCAGACAGCTCTCCTGAACACTACAAAGAGCAGTGGTGGCCTGGAGCTGGGCTCTGCAACCCCTGAGCCTCTGCTGCACATGGCTTCCCTGGCACCTCTGTGAGATCTGCCACCCCTGTGTGCCTCCAGAGGTGCCACCAGTGCCCCCAGAAACACACCAGGGTGTCTGGCAGCCATGCAGACAGCACACTTGTTTTTCTCCTTGATCAAAACAACTTCAAATATAGGGGACTTCAGAGAGTCACAAAGTCTAGCTAGCACATATGCTGTGCTGTGGGAGCCTTTGATTATCCTGCAGATATTTTTAGAGCTCGTTGTAAATGAGCTGTGGCTTCATTTGTGTGGCGYATGGTGACAGCTCTGCCTGAAACAGCCTCGGTTCCCTGTGCCCTCTGCTCTGCACCACCGCAGAGCTGGACCTGCCCCTGCCCAGACACCTGCCCCTGCCCTCTGATTTAAACACCTTGGGGGCACCTGTTTAAACACACCCCTGCTCTTTTCCTTCTGCCTCAGGAGAGTCAGAAAAGGGAGACAGCCCTCAGGAAGCGCTGCAAACCCCCTCTGGTTATGCCTGCAAGCTCTTGGCATCATAGGCTCCACACCTCCTGCTTCCAGAAAGAAAAAACATGTTCAGATCTTTTGCTAAATCAAGTTTCTAGTGCCAGCTGCCAACAGCCATCTCCATGGAGCTTATCCAGGACACCGGCAGAGCTGRAGAAGTGCGTGTCAGGCTTTAATGCTATGACAACCATCACAGAGGAATTTTTCAATTTCCTTTTCACACAAATTGACGTGAGAATCAGTGGTCCTAAAAATGAAGGGCACCTTTAGTCCTGGATCAGATGAATTTATGCAAGCTTCCCTTCCTCACAAAAGATCAGATTGTGCACTTTGCTTGAAGGGATCTTGCTTTTAAGTTTTTGGTTTGAAGTTACCAGCAAGGAGGCTGCTCACTGCCAACGGTGACTAACAAGAGTCCACAGCACAAAATCGCCTGTAGGAAATGAATTACAATGCAGCAATGCATTTCACAAGCAGYTCTGACTCTTTACACATGGTTGAGCTGCTGAAAGTGAAGCATTGTCCTGCTTTCGTGCTGACAATTGACTAGCAAAGGCAAAAACCCCAGAGATGAGGTTTTCACTGCTGACTGACAGGTGCCCAGGAAACCCAACTGAAGCTAAGCCCAGACAATCACCAGGATTTTGCTAGGCTTGCTTACTGCTCAAAAATGAGTGATGAAAGCTGCCAAAAAATAACAAACTGTGTGTAATATGTGGACTGCTCCATGAAGTGGACTTCAAGGAAATCACTAAAATAATCTTTCTTATTGGATCTGTTGTATGACTGATTTGGGGCTATTTTCGCTTCTCAGCCTAGAAACTGCCATTCACTTCCAGCCTCTGTGGCTACTCCCCATTAGAATTTGGAAGCATTCACTCTGAAACCAAAGCTTCAGCACAGCCTTTACCTGCAGGGATTGATGGGTTTACATACATGCTTCCCCAGGCCCAGGGCTGCCTAAGCCTAGACCTCCCCCAAAGCCAGAATTTCCACCCAAATTTCCCTTCCTTTGCAARGACCAGCAAGTGGGGTGGCACTGACACTTTGCAACCTGAACACCCTCCAGAGCAACCCCACTGGGCATTGGGTTAAAGCCCAAGGTTATGGGCATCCACATAACTGCTCTCAATAGAGAGCAAAAACCTTTTTATGCCATACGTATCCGTTGCATTAAACCTTTRCTAGAGGGGTAAACTGCTCATCCACTTCATCTAACACTTGCTTATCCACTGGTATCCATTCCCAGGACCAACTGGAAAACCTGGATTCCTTCAGACCCGATTAAACAGCCAGTCCTGCTGATGCTTCCATCCCTACACACTGAAACTCAGAGATACCATCAGTATAAACACGCACAGTCTGCAGTGCCACACACAGGATCCACACCACCAGCTGCACAGCTTGCTCCTGCGTTTTCTGCTTCCCTTCACTGCCACATGGACACATTTGCAGCTGAGTGAGCAACTGTTTGTGCTGGAAGAGCTTTGTTTTCTGCCTCTGTTTCTAATATTGCTGCCACCCAGTAGCAGGGATGGACTAAACCTTTGCAAGGTTGTCCGTGMTTGCACTGCCATGCAAACCTGAGCTGCAGTGGATGAAGGATGATCCACAGCCCCTGTGGTACCTTTGCAGTGGGGTGTATCCCCAGCAGCAGCCAGACTCAGCCCACAGAAGCAATGTTTTCAGCTGTTTGGTCAGTAAACACAACCCACAGCCCAGAGCTAATCCATGGACACACGTACTTATTTCAGAGGTTGGCTCTCCTGCCCACAGTGACTTAGCAGACGAAATTACTCTTATTACACTGAACTGTTTTAAAGGTTGTACCTTTAGTTAATCTACTGTGAGMCCAGCCTCAAGCATAACTTCACATCAAAGAATAAACCAAAGT